ATTAATAAATTATAGGCAACGGTGATGTGAGTGCAATTTTACATATAGACAACACTCCCTTTATAGGATATCCTAATTACTGCTACTGTATAAATTAAGCATTTTTCAATACAATCATTAATATCATACTGATCATGACAAACCTCTAACACTCAAGGCACTCCATTCACCCACTAATGCCAGATTAATACACTGTGCTATATTTCCTTGTCATAATGACGGCGAGTGATGTTTAGTATAGGGCACTGACACTCAGTCTTCGGGCGATGGTGTCGTGTCTAACCAAAACGCCACCAAACACACCAATACATTATTAGACATCTATGATGACATGGTGTAATCTTCTCTCAGGATTTCTGTTCCATATCTGAACCTTTTCCCTTTGATCTGATTGATTGTATGATTTGACTGGCACTTGAGTTGACAAGTCAATGTGAAGGCTGATTTGGAGACATCATTCAGCGTTTGTTTTCTACGACTCTCGCCCAGAAGTTGCCTGATCAAGGTTACACCATTCATGGCCTCAGTGAAGCTTTTAGGTATTTTATGGTAGACGTGTGGAGCACATTTCCAAATTTGACACATCCGTGACAAAAATGATGTCCGATGCAAATCCCTATTTGACTTTTACCATATGTTTCCTTGTTTTTTTCAGGTGAACAATTGACTTGCCTTTGCGTGTGTTTGTGACGGGTGCCAACGGTGGGCAAGGATACCCTTACCTGTTCGCTTACACCTGGTATTATCACTATTTGATATTTATTCATAAACACATGCTCGTGATATAATAGGAATCGTACAATCGACTCTACTTTAGGCAAAGGTTTCTCATGGATAAGTAAAGGGTTTTGTTGGTTTTATTAAGAAAACAATGATAATGACGATCGACTTGAATAGGAGTTTGAAGGCGTGGGGATTTTTTTATAATTAATCAGGGATGCTGTGTAGTGTATAAAGAGACGAATGTACTGCTGATACATCATTGATACTAAACAGGGCGAATCCTGGATACGAACCCACTGACATAGGCTCCTGGTACACCTGAGCGGAGCCACACAGTGAATTGCAAAGCCTTAGAGGACATGGTCAGCCTGCCGCCCTAATTATTAGGGATGTGACCTTAGACGCTACTTGTCTGTTTTTGTAAAAGAAAAATTATGTATACTGATTATGAACCACACACATAGATATATTGTTTCATCATAACTTAATTTCAAATATATTACCCATAAGGACAGGACGGCATACCAAACATTCATCCAAAGTTGTCATCGTTACCAAAGTTGGTTTTCATTGTTATTATCATCGTCATCATCAACATTGTCTATCATCATCAGTTTCAGACCACCACTGCGTTACACTGACGATTTGTAACTTGTTTTTATTCGTGTTATTATTGCGACAAGTACAAAAGTTGCACCGTTAGAGCAGAGCTAGCTATTATTGTTATCCCATTATATACCATACGTGATGTTATCACATGATAACGTTCGTATGTGTATAATAGTGATGGAGAATTTGTAGTTAATGTGAAATGTACTTTTAACGTTTTAATCAAAATATAATTTTAGGACATCATTCGTTGTAGTAATCACAAGTATGATTAAAGAGCAAATTGGAATTTAGTGTCACGCGCCATATCTAATCTGTTTGTGTTGGACACAAAACATACGACGACAAGAAACGTCAGTGTACTTAAAATGCAAAGCGTAAATGTAGCCTACGGCAAGTCACACGGGTGATTGGCTCTGAACCTGTCGCTGTTAGCTGTCGCACTATGTGATATATTCTGGTACACATAATATCAGGGGCATGTTTAACATATGAATGTTGTCACGTAAAACCTTAAACGAAACCTGTACATTCACAAATACGCTGAAATTTGAAAACCTACTGTCCGTTTGAAAACAATAAGAGTTAGGCGCATATATTCAAAAAAATTTAAAGAAAAATCTTCATACGAGGAAAAGAATAATTAAGCCCTTCCGTTTTAGCGTTGTTTTGGCAAATCCTAGTTCTTATAATCCGAGACCCGTGAAGATCCGGGGTAGAATAGGTCTTCAGCAACCGATGCTTGGCTTAAAAGGCGACTATGCTTGTCGTAAGAGGCGACTAACGGGATCGGGTGGTCAGGCTCGCTGACTTGGTTGATGCATGTCATCGTATCCCAATTGCGTGGATCGATGTTCATGATGTAAATCACTGGATTATACCAGCCCGCCGTCATATGGCTGGAATATTGCTGAGTGCTGCGATAAACAACAAACAAACAAATTTTATAATCCGGCTTCGTTTTGCCTATGAACTACAGCATCATATTCGAAACTCATAATTCTGATTTTTAAAAAAAATTCAACTTGTAACCTGGACTTAAAGAATTTCATCATGTAACCATTTAAGAATCCTCAAGCCAGACTATGTATATGCTAACAAGCATGCACCTCTGACGCCAACACAATCGTGATGGAACTAGGGCTTTGAGCCTCCCGTGTGACACTGTCGATCAAGTGCAAATACGTTTAACTAGATGATCTGCCGCACCTGTTTGGCAGTGTAACAGTAAATCAACGACATGAGCTCATGTTAATACTTGAACAACGCCTTTTGTCGTGACGGACCCCAGTTGTTAGGTTGCCGACTGCAGTTGAGCATGCTCCTTGACAATATTCATTGCTAGTCTAGGCTTAATGAATCAAGTGAATTGCTGTATGGCTAAAAACTACAATGTTGCAGAATATTGATGGCATGTGCTGACTACATCGCTCTACTCATTTATCAGCAAGGCTTCAACACATTCATTTCTTGGTCTGATTTTTTTTGTCGAAACAGAGGAACTAGAATTTTATGTTAAAAAAATAATTCCTCATATACAAGTAATATTTTTTTCTGTCATTTATATATACAACTTCTATCCATGAATAAACATACAATCAGATCTTCGTTAGTAAGGCGCCATCATCAATATTACATTTGGTAGAAACATTTTTTATTTACTGGATCCTATTTCAGCTCTTGAGTTTGGTATATAAACATTTTATACCTTACAAATTCAAATCATTCCGTCAATAAAAACAAGACCCTGAACAAGATTGCATAATTTACACCACCGTGTTCCTATCTAAAATATAATGTGCTTGAGCCAACAGTCGTTATGCCGAGAATGTAAGCGAGGTCGTGAACACACATGCTGGTCCTTGTGCCTCCGATAGGGTATCTTATGACAACCGTACCTATGTAGACATGTGACATTAATCCTGTAAGCTAATTCTTGTAACCAATGCTCATTTCACAATCAATACATGTTTCTTTTTTTTCAACCATTCCAAACTATTTCTGAGTTACTGAAACGTATCTTGATACGCAGGATGCGAATCATGTATGTATTTTAGAGTTTTGCAAAAGTATGTATTGACTTTAGACCAGCTGGCAAACGAAACGAAAGTGTTCACTTTAAAATTGGATTTGACACAGAAGTAAAGATGCTATCAAAACGTTACTAGGCTGAAAACAGTCACCGAAACGCAGCAAACGTAAGAGCCAAACAACAACTCTGATACCCATCTAATGCATCGCCATCGAATAACCGTTTTGGTTGTGTTATTTGTAGCTAACATCAAACACGGGTGTATACTTTCTTTTACCTGTTTTTAATACACGTAATGCACATACATGCTATGCTTATGGTTGCATCGTCCTCTTAATGCATACTTTAAGAATTGCTGCTATTATACATACGTTTGTATTATACGTATTTTACGCAAGACGTACATTCATCAGTGTTTCTGTATCACACGCACGTATGTACCGTGCATATACGACCCTATTACCTTAGGCACGATGTCAAAATACATATAGGTTAACTGGGTCATTCTGTCCTTGGCTAAGGCAGTTACCCTTACTAATGTTACAGAATCTTGATTTCATTTTAGTAACATCGTTTTTTATTCTAACGGTCATGTACCTTTGCAGACACATCGCCATTGTCGGTCTTTGACCCTTACGCGTATGTATTCTTAGCCAAATACAAACATAAAATTAGAAAATATAAATTACTCAGTCTTTCTGAATGCCTCATTTAATGGCCACAGTTTCCTTCCTAACCGTTTCGCCAAACACTCCAGGACAGGATACGAATGTTGACATTGAGGTAAAACAAATTGAAATGCTGTTTGGTTTGACATCAAATGAAGTTGAAAATACGCCAGTTCCATGATAATATCAAAACATATCTGAATAATCAGTCACATCAGTTATCAGTCCCAACGTGGACACTCATAACACCGCTATCAAAAGATAAATGGTTAACATGTACACTAACATGATCTTCTATTAGCTGTTCAATTACATTAGGGAGTCATGAAAAACGCCTGTGACCATTTTCACAACGTATATAATATTCTGTTAGTATTTTGAACTGACTAGTAATCAGAGAAACAGCAATCCAAACTATATACGCTTTTTCATCTTCATTATATATTAAGGTTTACGAGAAAACCATAATCCTTCAAATAATGACAACTGTATTAAACTATACATATGTGTGATTCCTTTAATAGTTTTCGTAACATCATACACAAACTAATAATGGAAAAAAAAATACATTGGAAACGTATTATCGAAATCTAATAAAGTGTATAAGTGGCATAATTAGATTTTCGTCCCATCACTTTAAAATTAATAACATGTTACTTGTATCCAATAATGTGATGATGTTGCAGGATGTTTCAAATGAAAAGCAATGAAAACACAATTACATTTGTCTTGTAATATCAGCACAGATGATGAGAATTAGCATAGGTTAGTTAATAGGGAAACAGAAGAGAAATATGTGTTAGAGTTTGGTGAGATTATTCTTGAAATGATAGGTACGACCATGACCGTTCGTCAGTTTCACCAAAGAGGGTCAACGACAAGGTATCGTTGACCACAGGACAGGGTATTCAGAACCGTAGAAGATCACTCTTTGAAACTGTACATAGGCTAGAACTACTGCAATTTACCTGATAATCTGCCAATCATTCCATTGTGTTCCATTTCATAGTCTGAAAAAGATCAGCCATATAAGAAAAACAAACCTAAATTGAAAGAAAACTTGGAAGAACCCTTGACAAAAACTACAAGTCTGATATATACGTGTTATTGTCAATACTTATATACCTCAACGATCCCATGGTGCACTGGAAAAAAAATTCATTACCACCAAATAGAAGGTTTGTTTGCATCTGCATAAACATTGATTCATTATGTCGAATAGTGCTTTTTAACCAAAACATGTTTATCAAACCAGATCTTTCTCACTAAATGTATAGATTAATTTTGTTCCTCTCTTTGAAATGGAACACAATCGTCTCATAAAATTATAAAATTGACAAAACAATGTGATTCGTTTTAGAGCGTGCGGGCGTTTCCCTATTTCGTGATTTACTCTAAACTACCTTCAAGATCAAAACGTTATATCACTTTATAATTCTTTTGTTGTTTCTCAGGCCACACTTGTTATCTCCCCTAGATCACATTTGTACACCCAATTCCTTTTACATCTGTTTATCTCGCTGAAGAAAACAAGAGCCTTGAGGTACATATTATGATCAACTTTTTAATCTCTTTCATGTGGCCGTTTTCACATGCTTGAGACCGTAAGGTCAAGCCGCCCTCTGAATTACATTTTCTGTCCTCGTGAATGAAACTGCCTGAAGACAATCTTGTTTACATCCTTATACCACTCGACTGTGACCTATCGGAAATATACAAATATGTATAAATTCTTAACTGCATTTTATAGTCTTGTTTTATGTGTGACATAATGTAGTTGTTGCCATGTACGACAAGAGAGTTCGAGGCAAGTTACCATTTTATTAGATGTATTGCATAACATAAGACAATACGCAATTTTTCTTGTTTTGAAATTGTTTATGGGGGACATTTATACATTGATTTCTAATGGGTTTGGGGGATTTGGATAAATGTTTCAAGTATATTAGTGTGGTTGGAATTAATCTATTTTGCTTGGACTCATTGACGCGAAGTATCCAAAGTAATGTTTTCGTGTTTTGGATTAATGTTTAGGGTAAGCTCGTTACCTTGTTTAAAAGCAACACAATCCATATTAATCATAGACAATATTATTCAGTTGATAACTGTTATAAAATTTTAACTCATTGTTTGGAGCCAGAGTGTTTTTAGGTGTTCTGTGGTACTTGATTACTTTTCATACAATAACAGTCACTATTGTATTGTTTAAATGTTACAATATAAAACATCACGGTGCGGTTATCGATCTTCATAGCGCGATACACACTGCCACCGGAAACTGATCTATCAAATACCGCCCCCACCCCCCTCGCTCAACACACAGCGTCCCCATTCAAGTGTGATCGCCCCCTCCCCAGGATTCTCTGGCCCCCACCCTGTTTTATCTCTGGTGTCGGTTTATGAGCCTTTCAAACGGGGTAATTACAGTGATCATATGGCATAGTCTAAACGCACTGACCAGACCGCTTTTCTGTCCGGATTTTAAGGTCGCTCTAATGATTCTGTTCAGCTGTAAAAGTTCGCTTTGGAGCATTTAGACATTTTTAACGAGTTTTTAATGAAGAATCTTCCAATTGTTTTTCTCAACTACTTTTATCTCTTTGAATAAAAGCGAGTGTTTGTACCGTATTCCTGATATGCTGGGGCTATTGTTCGGGGAATCAAAGATGGTAGGTGATTAAACAGCATGGCGTGGTGACGGTAATTTCGCCTAAACCTTCACACTTTTAAATGCCAAAATGTGTGGAAAATGTACCCTTTCGAGGCCGAAATGGCGATAAAATATTCCGAAACCTGTAATTATGATACGACAATTACCAACTTTGTAAAACACAACAACCTCAAGTACCTTATTTCAGCCTCGTCAACAAACATAGAACGAGATCATACACATCACCACTGATATATTGATATTAGTTGCACATGAGTATTAACCTTTAGCTACTTATATATTCATCGTTTTGCCCGGTTGAATGAGTAGTGACAAATTATGTCAAATCATTTTCATTCAAAATTTCCCAGGATACTAAATAATCTAACACTATTGATACGCATTTGTCAGATGCTCATATTAAGCGAAATGTATTTATAAAAACGAAACAAGCCGATATTAAGTCAAACAATATCAATACATATTTAGAAGACAAACCTAACGTGTTTTGAATTTGAGGTAATCTGGCTGTAGATATAACGTATCTTATTTTAATTTGGAACTGAACGCATTCGATGTTTCAAATGTAAAAGAAACCATGCTCGTTTTAATTTGGAACTGAACGCATTCGATGTTTCAAATGTAAAAGAAACCATGCTCGTTTTAATTTGGATTTATGGAATAGATAAACAGAAACTGATTTATCAATGAACGAACATTAATTCGTTTATAATTGAAAGGGACTTGATTGATCAGTGTTAAATAGTGATACCGTGGCGACGATACATGTGTTCCAAAGATTCGTATTGTTCCATCTGCCCTGAGGCTATGACGTACATACACTGTTACACAGGTATTCACAGGTAATAAACATACTCTGACATAATCTACATCACACCGTTTGCTTAATTATCCGTTATCCGTTTGATTTTTGAAATTTCATCATTTTAATTTCTATTTAACGATATATTGTTTGGATTTTCACTTTCCTAACTTCTGGCAATGGCATGGTGTCTTTGTTGAGATCATATGCAATTAATGAATGCAAATAGTTTGACATACTTACTGATGTGTCATCGAAAATGATTATATAAGATAACTCGTGTTTCAATTATTGGCGGTCGTGTAGGCCATTTATGTTGAAAGAAGAAAACTTTCTTGAAAAATATGAAAAATTCATTTGAAATATAACAGGGTAATATACATACATTTTTACCCAAAGCTGGATATTGTGTTATAGAAAATATGACGTACTCACTAATGGTTTTAGCAAGCAATGGAAAAGGCAGATTACAATGAGATGAAAGAGTCTCTCTGGTAGACATTATGATTGAATATAGATATGGACATTCCGAAAACGAGTCCTTCCCTTTATTGAGTTTTTACATGGGATTTAAGTTGTTCTGAAAATGTAATGCTCAGATCGCATGTCAAACGCGCATACCATTTACTCTGTTTGTGAAAGTAAATTACGTATGACACAATAATAAAAGCAGGGCAGTTTATTGGGAGCAACATCACGGCTGATTGCCAAGACAAGGCGTGGGACATAAGTTTGCACGTGTATGATGATGATTTGATGGGTTCAATGCCGGAGGTTGTTCAAACACGACAGAAAAAAACGCATTGTTAAAAATCTATTCTGAGACAGCATTTTCTAGAAATGCCTTGTACAAGAAAGCTAAGCCATGTTACAGAAAAAATGGTTTAATGGTAATTCATAAACCCATGATATAATCGGAATCGTACATTATAGATTTCTATTGTTTATGGAAAGGGTTTTGTCGCTTCTATTGACATCCTGTCCTTGTACCTGTAAATTTCATGTTTCAAAAGTTAATCTTTATCTGAATTCTACCTATTGGAAAGATACACGTAGTGTAAGACGGTGGATGTGTAGGTAGAAATATCTTAAATTGTACTTTTGAATGACAGTGTTAAAGTTGAATTCAAGACATGAATATATACAAAAAAGGTTGTATATATGCGAATTCAAAATATAACGTGTGCTATAACGAGCAATAACCACACACGCATATAGGTGTTCCTATTAGAAAAGGAATAGAATATTGAAAGCTTGAAAAGATAAACGACTGATTTCACATTTCTAGATCAGAGAAAATGGGACATCTCTTTGTACCCTGTTATGGTATTTCATGCAACTTGTGATATTGAGGAGATGTACCATTTGAGGAAAATATGACAAACTATACAGTTATTTATGAATGTTAGTATACGTTTCAGTGCAGCATTTTCATTCTTTAGCTGATATAAACACTTATTCTAAGAATTGAACGATTCAACCGGTAGATTTTTATAACAGGTTAATTGTTTAACTTGAATATCAAACTATATGCCGTAGACCTGTTCAATATGGATACCTTGACTAGAAAGATGACAAATTACTTCAAATCAATCACTTTAATTCATAAATGAAAAAATAATTATGCCTTTATAATACAGTTTCTTTGGGTAAATCAATTTCCAACCATAATATTTGACGTATAAAATGCTTTAGTTTTAAAAATGACCTCTTTGTATATTGCACGTAAACAAGCAAGATGCACATGTATGTAGGTGAGAATAAAAGAGAGGCTAACATTGAAAGCGGGAATGAGGATTTCCTTTCATTGTTGATGTATACTTGCCTGCTTGCATGCTGCCTTCGGTATCATTTATGTAACTTGGAAGTATAACTAGTATATTAAAACTTGTATTACATATGACTGCTTATTTAATATAATTTGTATCATTGTATGAATTGTTTTAAGTTAATGCCACAGGTCTTGATGTTGTGTATTCCGTTTCCCCTTGTGACGTTATATGTAATTCAGGTATATATACAACTCAAAATAAGTAAAAGAACACCCGATTATTTGATATTCCTATAGTTCTGTCATGCCAGTACTATAGTACTATGAAAGAATCGGGTGTTCTTTAGCTTCTCTTGAGTAGTATGTGTTCAGGCTGGATCTATTATGTGAGGGATGACATGCAGTTTTTCTGTTTCATGGCAAATATCAGCAATGGTATTCGTAATGAGTTTACATTGAAATGGGATGTTTGGAAGCTTGCGATATATTCTTATTGAGAACATCTGGAACACGTTAACGTCATCGTACTGATAAACGTTTTATGAAATAACTTAAGACAGTTGGGATTTACCCGAACTTTATGTATAGTGTCGGTATATGTGCGAATTACGTTAACCAAGGTATGTGAATGCATATGAATTATGATACCTTGTGCTACAACAGAAAGGTAGATATGTGCAGGCTTACTTAGATATATATGTATCTATAAATGTGAATCAAGACAAATTGCTTCTACAGAAGGATTGATATGCGCTAACTATGATAAGAGTATATGTGAATTATGACAAATTGCTTCTACAGAAATACAGATTGGTGCTGACAATGCTATGTGTATGCATGAGAATTATTACAAAATGAATCTACAGAAAGTTAGTTATACGGTTGGTATGCAATGTGTATACATGGAATTATGACAAATTGCTTCAAGAGAAAGACATGCACTGACTACTAATTATACTCAACGACAAGGAAATTACGTCACAGTTTTAATAATTAGATTGAAGAATTAACCACTTACAAGGAACAGACACAGAACTACGGTTTTAAACGACATGTATTGCTTTTTAAGTGCATATCGTGTCATACTCAAAGACAGGGTCGTGCACCTTGTGAATCACCGAAACGGGTTTTCGTCATATGGAGAAGGGTAAATATTTTACTTCATATGTCAAATCTTGGATAGTTTTAAGCTGAAATACTGGTATATTTCACAGTGCTTGTCGACCCTGTTATAAACATATGTCATATAAGTGTATTTCAAATGATATAAGGCGGTGTAGGTCTGCAATTTGCATGTACTGCATGTCGTATATTAATGATGCAGCCACAGGTGTAACGTCGCCAAAACGTTGTAGACATGAAAGTTACGACCTTGCATATGTCATTCTACCTGTTTAAGAAACCAACTAGAGTGTGCATAAGTTGCCCTGTTTGGCGTTGCCGAGTAACCGTCGTCAAATAAGAAACACAAGAAGAAATGTGTCACATGGTAAGCGAGCAAAGTTAAAATGTACATTTCGATTCTTTAATTCCTACATATAAAGTTAATAGTGTTGATTTCAAAGTAATAATAATAATAAAAACAATAATTTGTGATGTAGAGCATTATTTTACCTTAGATGTGTTAGTTACATTAGCATTAAAAGTACAAATCTGTTTCGTGTAAATTGTCTAAATGTTTTTGTGACTTAACACACGAGGAACACATATTTACTTAAATTGAGGTAGACGTAAGGAGGACAAACTTGTATTATCGTGTCCAAATTGCTCCAACACATTGAGATTATATTCCACAATTGTCATTTAGCACTAAACATGAAAAGATAGGTAAATGATGTAACACTTGTTCCTTTTTAGGGATGACACAGCACCATCCGCAATTTGGACCTCTTCATATATACATATGAATCACAAGATTGATATTTACATATGAATCACAAGATTGATATTTACGAGACAGGTGGTGCTTGACTGTTAGTGCATCTAAAAAGACTTTTTTGGAAATAACAAAATGTATTAACAGGAACATTTTTAATAAAGAAGGTTAATAACATATTTGCAATAAACTTGAAAACAATCAGTATGTTACATAACTTTATAACTTGCTACAGCCCGAAGTCTTGAACTGCAAGGCGGTAATCGCCAAGAGAAAATACCTAAATATATGAATTAAACGCCAGAATAGGTATTACGACATGCAATGAAACCGTAGCAGTTATCTGTTATGGCATCAGTTCTGGTAGTAGTTTTATGTATCATTGCTACATAATAATGTAATTTGATCCAGGGTAGAGTATGAAACATGCAAATAAAGTGGATGAAACATTCATGAATCATATTGATCTTACCTCTCTGGCAAAAGCTTTGATACGGTGACATCCCGGGTGTTTTATTGAAATCGAGCGTCGCAGAGACTTCAGGGTTTCTCCAGGAATTGTCAATAACATTGAGTCTCTGTTGACCATTACAGGAACAAGAAATAGCACAACAACTACGCTGTGTCTCCTCCCGACCGCCCTCAATGTCAGTACGAGCGTTATTTGGTTTGTACAATAAACTTTCATACCCCGGTTTAACCAAGTTGTTGGAGTCTCTTGGAGTTGAAGCTTCAGAATTCGTGGAACAAATGGTCTGTAGCTTCCAATCGTTACCGTTATGTTGTTTGGTGGTATCAGTCTGGAAAGGGTAGACTGATGGTGGGGTGAAATACCCCGAAGGCCAGCTAGCTGGGTACATTGCTGGGTAGTTTCGATCACAGTTGTTGCTCTCGGAATAGGCTGTAGGTAGATGCCAGCCCCTTATCGCATACGGGTTCATTTCGTGTGTGCGTAGCGAGGGTACACAGTAGGCATTAACTGGTTGGTCCCTTGACTGTCAACTTGAAGCAGTTGAAGTTTCGTCCAATAATGTCCCGCCCTACGACCGGTCACTCCTAAGGGGAGGGGTGGAGATTCACTGCCCTGTTTGTCGACCCTGCATTAAAATAATACGAGCTCCACCGCCAGGCTTTGTTTGATTGACAGCTGAGGCAATGGCGCGTGATATCTCGCTCTCCCCGACAAAGGTCACGCTAGCGGAGTCACACACTCAGTCCCTCGATCCGTTCCGTCTTCAAAATTAGGCGTCAGCACTGTCTCTCCAAATCTTACACACGCATGCAAACCTTTTAACCATCTCTCGAAAGCAGCTTCAATAAAACAAACAGTAAAACCTCTATTCTGGGTGATCGGACGGGGCCCGCCGAGAGAAGTTTGCGAGCAGAACAAGTCCCTTAAGATGGACCTAACTGTGCACAATTAAATCTTATGGCTCCAACTCCGATACTTAACTCGCATATAACTGAGAGCCACGAGCAACACGCACTAACATCCCTAAAGCTCAGTGCCTCGTAGCTGAGATCATTTTGAGCGAGAAATGTGGAAATCTTCTGAATTATACGAACCAGGCCGATCTGTGATTGGTTGGTTGGTGCACCTTCACTCATCAACGAGTGGGCAGGTGGGATATTTTCCTCCGCTCATTACCATAAGTTTTAACTTGATTATGTAGAAGCTCCCTGTGTATAAATTCATACACAATATTGGAAAATGTAGATATGGTGACGTATTCCTTATCACAAAATATCGTAAGGAGATACGAGTCCACGCGGTGTTGTCACTCAAATTCACGTAAAGCTGGTACATACATAGGACGAAACCAAACCACGCTGTACGTATTGGTATACATTGTTATACATTCACGTCCTTGTAATCATAATGATTTCATTCACTTTTCTTATGATAAATTATGATTAGAAAGTTAATGCTAACGTTGTACAATCCTTTCAGACATAAACTTTTCTGTTAACAGTATGTGCGCTTTTTCGTTCATTTATGAAGATCTTGGTCCTTGCATGTTGCTCTTGTTTTTTCCATACTGTAACATATCGCAATTTCTATAATCGTCTCTTGAAAGTTTCACATGTGCAGTATCCAAAGTTTTGTTTTTACTTATTCGCGGATTATTTCATATTCATATATTTAAGTTTACCAGTTGAGTTGCATTACAACGCTGCTTTGCTGTATCACATCACATTCAGTACTAATTAGATGCGATGCATAAATATAAATATCGCGGTGTGTTGTACAAAAATCATCGCAATAGACATATAGTAACTTTAATAAATTTGATTTTTATGTTTTCACTAGTATTCAATTGTCGCCATATTAATCCCACTATTATCGTTCATAGACCTTTTATCACCTTCACCATTGCTTTCCTAGTGCGAGTTTGAATTACTGAACAACATGATAATCCCCCATTACTCGCTGGCACCATGAAGGTACGTAAACCTTAATATAAGTAATACTATTACATAACGAGTGTGATAAATTACAGTTTTAATTAATATACACTGGCGTGGTTGAAGAACCCATTCGTGGCATAAGAGTATTCTTGCACGATTGAATCCTTCTATATTTCCTGAAATAGTATTGCACATCTCTCTCATATTTGGTTTAAATATTCTCCATTTAATTGTAATTATAATATGCAGTCTATATTTATTTGCTCGTTAATCATTTATATTTGTTGAGTTGTGTTCTTTCAAAATAGATGGAAGATGGTATGCGTTCACTCGTTACATTTATTTTTGTACTTTGTGACATGAATGTTCACATGGTATATTACAACGTGCCTATATGCACCTGGCGTAGCTGATGGTCGCTTATAATTTATTTCATGTCCATTTAAAAGCCCATCTTCAGTTATCATTTACAACATCCCCGTGTTATTTTCAGAATATTAATCACAAAAATCCCTTAAAAGTTTCAACACATGACACGGTATAAGCTGTACTTATTGTCTCCTCTTATTTCTTTACTCATATACAGTTGCACGTAAATTAATCTTAAAATCCTTGGATACTGATATACAGCCTTCAGTCTTAGCGTATGAAATTATCGGCATTTGATTCTGATTTAATGTCACATGCATGATGAATATATATAGTCTTTTGAAACATTGTTTAAGTAGTAAAACAATAATGAAATTAAACTTTATAAACCTGAATTTAGTAACAATGGCATCTTTTTTTTACAAATTAACAAAATTCATTAAAAATTGTGAATTTGTGTCAAACCTTCCTAAAAAAATATTGATTAGAATAATGTGTTTTATCAACGAACTCTTACGAGCATTTCTGACTGACATCTTCGATGCGGTTTATTGTTGTGTAAAATTTAAAGGGTTATATTATCATTCTAGCAATATGATATTAATTAATTACTGCAACAGGTTGCTTGTCATTCTATAGTTGTCAGCCTGTACAACGAACACGTACAGTTGAGGCATGGATAGGCACCATAACCTCCATTAATGGCGAACTTTAGGTTAAGTAATGAAAACACTTTAAAACCTTTACACATATTTTTACAAGTGTTCCTATTACATTCACAAGTTATGAAATATTAATATGGTTATATCGAAGATGTCCTTATCTACATTTATTCCCAAAAGTATTGAGGACTTAAAAATGTTATGAATACGGGATGAAAACGTATCTATTAATGAAGTGTATTTGAAACACATTCTTTGGGATACCTCTAGGTAGGTGTATGTCATATCATCTTTATATACCGGTAGTTGAAGTGATTTTTGGAATAAATATATTGTTTCAAAATCTCACATAAATCTACATATAAAGGAATGTTCTCTGTACAGACCTTTCTTTTCTAATTGAGCCTTTAAACTATGTGTCTATTGTATATTTACTAAAATTATTTACATGACTGTGCTTTCGTATGCTTATAATATTTTTATGCAGCGTGTCATAGAGTTATGTTCTTTAAGTACTCGCGCTGAATGAACTAAAGAGATGTGTTATCGCATTACACAGATGAACACAAAAGTTTAAAAGAACGGGACGTCTTGTTGCAAATGGTAGTTTCTTATTGTCCTATTGAAATTGTTCGTTCTAACTGATCTTTTCGAAAGTATGAATACAAAGGTTTAAAAAAACGGGGCGTTTTTGTTGCAAATGTTGGTTTCTTATTGTCCAATTGAAAATGTTCGTTCTACCTGACCTATTCGAAAGTATGTGTTCACGGCATGCTGGTCGGACAATCTACTGCAGATACGTAAAAAACGATATGCTTAAGTATGCATATAGTGTTTCTCCAATGGCTGAGTTTTTACATTTCAAGAAGCAGATATTTATTCAAAGTACGCATATTGAAATACAAAGAAACACAAAAGCAAACAAGAATATGATATCTAAACACAAATGTGTCAAACAAGTCAAAACTGCATATTGTTTCTATAAAACGAACAAAATAACGTTTTTCTCACAGCGTACCATATATATCATATATGTATAGTATGCTTTAAGTAGACATATTTTACTTGAATATTTTATGTTGCACCTTAATTACGTTGTGTGGGTAAATGCACTCGGAGGCGTCCAAGAATAGGACGATAATGATAAGTACTAACAAGGACAAATGATGCGTTCACATTTGCACAAAGGGGACATTTATTACACAAGAAAATCGTGGAAAATACATCATACACTAACGACGGCGCTCAAGAGAGGGCCTGACATTTATTCCGTATGATCGAGGTTTTATAGCACATCTAACATTCAAAAACATTGCTTGTGTTGCACCTAGTTGTGTGGTCGAGGATGGCAGTTTATCAATATAGGAAGTACAAAGATGTAGTGCATGGATAGTTAGTCATGACGTCTTTCATATCATTATACAAATGACGGTGTATCATCGCGTAATAGAGGTGATAGCAGCTTATCATATTCATAAAGAATGGAAAACCTTTTGATTTTTTGTATCTATTGTTCTGTTTCGTCATCTACTCTACATAATTGTACACTTTGAATCAAAATGCTCATAAAAACAACAATTTGTTTTTGTTTAGAATATTTACATCATACATAATAGACAAGAGAAGAATTAAAAAAATAAAATAAAGAAAACAAGCATATGTATTTCCAAGCGCTCCAATCTCTACAGTATGATACACAGACATTCAAAGAGTGAGTGAGTGAGTTTGGTTTTACGCCGCTTTTAGCAATATTCCAGCAATATCACGGCGGACATTCAAAGACAAGAAAGAGTCGAAGCACATGTATAACAAGGCACATTTTTGAACAGGTGCCTGTTACATGAGTACGAAAAATATGTAGAAGCGATTTCGCGAATGGAAACAGTGAAATAACAAACAGAGATGTTGCTATCATCGTAAGAAAACAAATGAGTACAAATGAAGTAATGGTCTACTCATCGTGTATATGTTGCAGACTGATTAATGATATACTCACCGTGATTATGTTGCAGAATGATTAATGATATACTCATCGTGTATATGTTGTAGAATGATAAATGATATACTCATCGTATATATGTTGTAGAATGGATTAATGATATACTCATCGTGTATATGTTGTAGAATGGAGTAATGATATACTCACCGTGTATATGTTGTAGAATGGAGTGATGATATACTCACGGTGTATATGTTGTAGAATGGAGTGATGATATACTCATCGTGTATATGTTGTAGAATGGATTAATGATATACTCTTCATGTATATGTTGTAGAATGATTAATGATATACTCATCGTGTATATGTTGTAGAATGGGGTGATGATATACTCATCGTATTTATGTTGTAGAATGGAGTAATGATATACTCACCGTGTATATGTTGTAGAATGATTAATGATATACACATCGTGTATATGTTGTAGAATGGGGTGATGATATACTCATCGTATTTATGTTGTAGAATGGAGTAATGATATACTCACCGTGTATTTGTTGTAGAATGATGAATGATCTCATCGTATTTATGTTGTTGGATGGAGTAATGATATTCTCATAGTGTGTATATTGTAGAATGCTCTTTATAAATTAGCAAGGAAGAATGTGGTATCAAAAGACATTTTTGTGTGATTTACTGTAATATTTATGAATGGTTTGTACATCGGCTACGTGCTCATTCGTGTTCATTTCGTATTCATACAGTACGTAAGCATCTGAGGTATCCTGTAGGAAATCCATGCATCATCAATTGTCATAATTATCTTTATGGTCCAATTAGTGATACCTGCCTTTGTCACAAGATAACATGCTTTGAAAGCACCAGTTATCATCTTTGATCCGCACGTTTCTAGTTTGCTAGATAATGTAAATAACATATTTCCATTGAACTACTGGAAATAAAAGTATTTTGCTGTAGGCATTTCATCTTGGAGGGAGAAATTCAATTTTTAACAATGAAGATTTGTTTTCACAATTGCACGCTGGCATGGTCGACGAACGATCGACAATATAAACATAAATGTTCATTGAAACTGATATACTGTAACTTATTTTATTGTATACAATTGCGTTATAAAAGAGTTATAACTCCATAGCACATGAACTGGACATGGAGGCAATGCAAGGCCCTAAAACACGCCCTCCCGTCCCTTAAAGGTACATGCCATTTTCCTCGAGTTTGGTGAGATGAGAAAGATTTCATCATAACCACAATAAATAATATGAATATGTGTTAACTCATAACAGGCCCAAGAAGACGAATAACACAGAAGTCTTTTAGAGCGCCAAGGACATTAAGGATTAAATGAGGGAAATGAAATTGCTATGAAATGTTAAATGCTAGTACCACTTGAAGCAAATATTAGAGTGAGAACGATTGTGCCAGCATAGAATCAAATACTCTACGACACTAACAATAGCACTAAAAATCAAATCAGATCTTGTTACAAGTGACAAATACGTTATTCATTTCGAGCAAAAGGTGTGCTCACATGAATTGCTACCGTATTCTTTTCTGTCACATAATCAAATTTGATGTATGGATTCATTTTCTCAATTTATTCAAGCCAGTATTGGTTATTTTCAGAGCTTTTGGACAATCGTGTATTTGAACCTTACGACCCCACAGGTAATTAATCAGGTGATCTTTAACGACGAAGATATACCAGTAAATCATAAAAATCACTTTGAAGACATGTACTCGTCGTAAATTAAAAAAATAACTCCAGCAACAAAATTATGAATAAGTACGACACCACCGATATGTTTTTACACTCGTACTTTACATTTCATATTATTTATGTAGTATCGGTCTGACGGATATGAATGAGCTATCATTTCATAATAATTTATATAAGGGCGTCAACGGCGTCTAGGTCTGTATGGAGTTGTTTGTCAGCGAAGACGTCGCATCATAGCATGGGCATTATTTAAAACATATTTGCAGAGGTTTGTTTTTAATGGGTGATAAATCTCATAGAATATTGATCGATATTTAAGCCATGTCTCTCAGTTTTAGGATTGTCGTAATCCTTAAGTGATAGAAGCGAATCTGCAAACTTCAAAAATAACTATTTCACATTTTAATAAAATTCTTTATTAACGTAAAGAGAAAATGTGATTTTTCAGCTTCCGCATTTCAAAAGGATCATATTTTGAAAGTATTTATTGAAACTATTGTTCAATCATTGTTTTTTTTGTAGTTCACGATGGTTTTTTTTCAACGCCCTTGTTACAAATCCTCGTCAAACACATCAAGGGAAAGGTTAATTAGAGCACCAACGAAGGACACTTACCGTTGCTCAGAATTATATCTCCAAGCTATGCACTTTATAGGACCCAAACGCTTTCAAACAAAATCAGAGTATCACATGATTTGCTAAAATAATAATAACACTATTGATATGTGAAAAACGATGTGCTCAAGTATGGTTGAGTTTGTACGTTCTGTGATAGAAACCCCCCATCATATTTAAGAAGTAGATATTGATTCAAAATACTAATATTGAAATACAAAGAAACATAAAAGTAAACAAGAATACGAGACCTTAACACAAATGTGTAAAAAAAAAGGTCAAAACTGCATATTGTTTCTATAAAATGAACAAAATAACTGATATATCGTATGTGTATAGTATGTATTAAGTAGACATATTTAATTTGAGTATTTAATGTTGTACTTTAATTACATCTTAGGGGTAAATGCACTTGGGGCTTCCAAGAACGGGGCGATAATGATAGTACTAACAAGGACAAATGGACATTCATTACACAAGAAAATCGTGGAAAATACACCATACACCAACTATAAGTATTATTATTATTCACAGATTTAAAAAAAATGCAGCAAAGAGAGTATTTGGGTGATCCTGGCACAGTAAGGCTGGTTAGGCTCATCGTCATCCCAGGGCCCTTGCCCCCTCTACACGCAGCCCAGACAGTGGATGGGACTTCTCCCAGGAAGCGCTGCCTATTCGAAAGCACCGAGAACTTTTCGGAGAATGTGAAGACTCCCCAACACTGCAGCCTTTTGCATTACACAGATTGTCAGAAAGGTTGTATTCCTGGCAGCAAACCCGGGTACTCTCCCATTGTCAGTCAAAAGATTGGGAGGTACCAAACCCAAGGCACCGAGAACAATGGGGAGTATGACAACTTGGTACTTGGGATGCAAGCGTGACATTTCGAACGCGAAACCTATTTGCAATGGTTTTCCTGAATCTTGTCAATAAAATTCAATGATATAAATGATTTCACTGCATCTATCAATAAGAACAAGGTCATCTTTATGTCCGACGCAATTCCCTATTTTGACTTGAACCACATGTTCCCGTGTTTTTTAAGGTGACTAATTGACTTGCATTTGCATGTGTTTGTGACGGGGCCACCTGTGGGACAGAATACGCTCATCCTCATACGCTCATCACCTGGTTTCATTACTATTTGATAGTGATTCATACACACATGCTTATGATATAGTCAGATCCGTAAAATCGACTCTGCTTTTGGCAAAGATTTCTTATGATTATGGAAAGGGTTTTGTCGCTTTTATTTGGGAAGGCGTTGATAGACATTATACCGGCCTATTGTCCGCGATCCTAGCTGTGAAACACAGGGCATTGGTATGGCAAGTACAACAGAAAACACACAACGATCAGCATGTTCACAACGTGGTCCTATTTGTAGATGTTCATTTGCATTGGAAATCTGTACCACATTCGCATAGTTGTACTAACACTACACCCAGAATGCGTGCTGTCTTTCTCTGGTAGATAACTCTCACACAATAAATGCAAATTCACCGAGTTTGACTCATACGACCCGTTTGAGTCGCTTCTTTCTTGACCAGGAATCACCACTCACACTTCTGCGCATATTCACTTAAGGTATATGTGGAAGCAAATGCTATTCCACTGTCGGGGCGGTCGGGTAGCCTAGTGGTTTAAGCGTCTGCTCGTCACGCAGAAGACCCGGGTTCGCCGTGATATTGCTGGAATATTGCTAAAAGCGGCGTAAAACCGTCCTCACTCACTCCTATCCCGGTCAAAATAACGTTAAAAATGTATGAATGCATAGATGTAACGATGTAATGATAGAATGGATTTTATTGATATCGCATTGCCACCAGGCAAAAAACAACGTCTTTTTAAATCGTGAGACACATCCCACGTTAGGTGCTGTGTATTCGTCCATCAAGGATCTAAAAGTCAGCTTATCTGATTGTGCAAGTGTTAAAGTATTCATGCAACAGAGCGGGATAAATTAAACAAACGAACCATTTGAATGTCCACATGTGGACGGATACACACTCATTTGTCTACATACATAAAAAAACACACCAGTCATGTGGAAAATCATACACGCTGGTGTGCAATATCAAATAACACATTTTCCACCTATGTTCTGTGTGTAAATGATGCACATTGAATGCTAATTTTAAATCTTCCCTCAATCACTCACTCCAAAATAAGTAATTCCACCATGATCTATTCCTCGCGTCAGATCTGTCACCGAATAACCATAAGTCATTTACCGCTTTATTTTCTCTATGAATAGACTTTATGTACCTATGTTCATGAGACCTAAAAAACACACTAAGTGGACATAACTATCACCTACAAATTGTACTCATTCATAATGCATTGTCGAGGCATGATTTCCAGGCCTATCGGCCCTTACCAAGAGATTTCATCAAAGGTGTTATGACCTGGTGTTTTGTGATGGTAAAGATTCACAGACATACTGTCTGTTTGGTTAATGTATTTACATCACGCATGTGTTATATGTATAGTCTGCTTTGCTGTAGACCAGACACGCCGAGAGATTGATGACATTATACTTCATACTCAATAATGACGTACGATCTCTTAACATAATCCCACATGGCGTCACCCAAATGAAATAATGAAATCACATAACGCTTATGGGGTATTCTCTATTTTGAGAAGTGTCAATCTGAATTGAATACCGCTTCATTATTCAGAGCTCAAAACGAAACCCCGTTTATCCAGACGGTACCGTTCCCAGTGAAATCGCCAGATTGTCACCTTTCTGGATTAACGAATCATGGGCACGGTGTAGTGTACCCTGGTAAATATGTAGAAGTCGCGACAATAATCACCCATATGGCGGGTTTCCAAATTAACGGTGTCCGGTTTAATGGGGTTTCATTGTTTACGAATAAGAACTACTGACCATCCATGGAATTTTATTCTTAAATGCTAAAACTCAATGTATGAGTAAAGCACATGCCTATATTCCTTAAACAATTGTAAGAGATGTATGTCAGTTAGCATACACCGATCCCCCCTTTTAATAGAGTATTTTCATTGTCAGGGAAACACTAATGACATATACAGATGGCTGAGGTCGATCCAAGAATCCATTCAAAATTGTATATCTATCATAAACGGAGCATACACCAATGCTCCTAAAGCACTGACGATCAAATTAATGTTTCCAAAATGTAAAACAACCCAACAATGGTTATCCCTGATAGATCACTCAATGGCAGCTGTGACACCAGGTGTTCTTGCACGAGAACGACACGTGTGAAGGTCAAGGCCATTACCTAGACGTAGACGTACATTGACCGGACTAAAATCCGTTTTACTCAAACACTCAATGTCACTAGTACAACCAACGCCCTCTGCGCTGCAATGCCTAGCTCTCTATCCAGAAGTATGAACTCCTGTGAAGACGTTGTCATTAATATACAGCGTTCATAGTAATAAGCCAGTGGTGTATTTACGACGTGACAAAACAATCAAAGTCAATTTGAGGTTATGTGTTTTGACATAAACCTTTTTGTTGACACGGGTTCTGCGTGTTTATTGTTTCTCACGAATCTGATGCCCGGGGATTTCCTTAAATATGTTTTGATCAATGGGTTTTCCCCGCGGTCAAAACTGTTGAGATATCATACCTACAAGAAGCACTTGAATATTCCTTTTAGCATATTTCCACGATGCGATTTATTTTTATACGGTAGTAAATGTTATAGCCACGATGAAAAGGATTACCAGTAATTATCATGTTTTAAGTACCATCATGTACTAAAACACGATTATGTATATCCTCATCAATGTCCCAGTAGTCAACGATTTGTTTAGATTTTTAAGGAATATCGTCTCAAAGACTTGTCAATTCCTAAAATATTTGAGTTGTTATTTGACTCATATAAGCGTATAAGTGCTGTACAAGAATAAGGACTTATAAAATATTATATTATCCAGTAAAATTGTTATTTAAATACAAGTATAAGAAATTGTTTGACATCCATTGTAAGAATAAAACGTCAGCACCACAAAATAACCAGTCTCGACTAACCAACGAGACAGGCAAAATGCAAACTAGCGAAGAACATTATGTGAATAGATTACTGGTGAGGTGAAATTGGGTTTAACGTCGCGTCCAAGATTATTGCACTTATATAGCGACGTGCATGCACGTGTATGTGTGTGTGTGGCTGCTTGTACTAGTCCGGACTGATGCCGATTTATAGTGCTAGCTCACTGAGATACCATGCCGCAGTTTAACATGAATACCCCACTCAGACACAGTATACTGACTCCGAGCCGACCAGTCCTTGTTTTAGCCCCTTAATGCCGAGCGCCAGACAGGGTAACA